GGTCTCAGCTTCCCCATCTCCTGTCAGGATCTCCCTAGCCCTCATCTAACAGTGTTGGAGAAAACTGGGCAGTGTGCTCATTGGACCTCCATGCGCCTCCTGGAGGTAGAATAGCAGCTACTGAGCAAACCAGAGGGCCAGAGCAAGTTGAGGACTGTTGCTGGTGGGGTCTGCATGTGACTGACATTATGATACACACATCATCTACCTGGACTGACTACTGCTTTCTGTAGACTGGATAGTAAACACGCTTGATGTAGGTGGGCGTCCCACCCAATTCTGTGAGCCCCTGTTCCCCGATATGGTGCGTGCTTTCCGTATCGAGTTGCGAGCTTGGAATAATGTCCTAGGAGTTAAAAACAGACACACACAGACACAGAGAGACCTGGATCATTTGCCCAAAAGGTAAATGTCAACTTTATTCAGCGAAATTCCAGGTTTAAATACTTGGGGGCCAAAGGACGAGAACCCCCTTCCAGCTGGGAGTGAGATCGAGGTGTTGAGCTCTTGGCGCCAGTGACAGGAGGAACAGGGCAGGGGGGCTCGAGCTAGCAGCAGTGACAGACATTTCAGGCGAGCCTCTGCGAGAACCCTTGTTTGCAGGTGGAATTACCATGCCAATAGAAGATAAAGCTCTCTATGCTAATACCCCTAGCTGGTGGGGCAAGCAGAGGAGGTGACAGGAAGCTTAGACTGGTGGGGTAAACAGTCCTGCAGAGCGCCTCAAGGAGCCGGGAAAGGCCTGGAATCCAACAGGTGGGTCTTCTGTATTTCTGTTGCTTTCATTGGCTAATTAATAAAGAAACTGCTTGGCCTGACAGGTCAGAACTTAGGTGGGTGGAGTAGACAGAACAGAATTGTGGGAGAAAGAAAGCAGAGGCAGGCAGACGCCATGCTTCTCCTGCCCAAGATGGACACAGGTTAGAATCTTCCTGGTAAGCCACCACCTTGTGGTGCTACACACATTAATAGAAACGAGTTAATCAATATGTAAGAATTAGCCAATAAGATGCTACAGATAATGGGCCAGGCAGTGTTTAAATGAATACAGTTTCTGTGTAATTATTTTGGGGTAAGCTAGCCGGGATCCGGGTAGGAACACAGCCCACCATTCCTTTTACACACGCTTCATAGTATTCGAGGGTTGAGGGACGTCTTTAAGTTCAACAAGCAAGAAGGTGAACAGGACACAGCTGTTCCCACATACACATTTATGTATCATATACTTGTTCTTATATGATATATATGTATATCATAAAGTGATAATCATTAAAGAAAGACGGTCCTGTGACACTGTAGGCCTGTTGAGGAGGGGCACCTAATTAATCCCAGGAAAATGGATCTCAAACTTCCCATCTCAAGACCCTTTAGTATGTTAAAATACTGAGGACTCCAAAGTGCTTTTGTTTGTGTGGGTTATACAGCGTTTGATATAGCTGTGTGCCTTCATAGGAAATTTAACCCAGAAAATTGTCAGTAACCCATTAGGTATCAAATAAAAAATTATGCATTTAATGTCATATGTTAAATATAAAATATAGTGTTAAGAATATAAGATATATGAATATTAAACCAACCACCTATTGAGGCAATCTTTATTTTATGAAAAAAAAATTATACTTTTTTTTCAAGATAAAGTTCCTCGAAAATTATATTTTTCTAAAGTTGATCAAAAAAATCACTATGAAGTGTTTTATAAACTCATTTTTGAGTTGTATTTTTGTTGTCATTGATACTTACTTATTTGAGGCAGGGTCACCTGTAGCCAAGCTAGCCTCAAACCCACTAGACATCTGAAGCTGACCTTGAACTCTCGATTCTCTTACCTCCATCTCCTATGTGCAGGTGTGCACCATGTCTGAGAGTGCAGGTGTGCACCACCATGTCTGAGAGTGCAGGTGTGCACCACGTCTGAGAGTGCAGGTGTGCACCACGTCTGAGAGTGCAGATGTGCACCACGTCTGAGAGTGCAGATGTGCACCATGTCTGAGAGTGCAGGTGTGCACCACCACGTCTGAAAGTGCAGGTGTGCACCACCACGTCTGAGAGTGCAGGTGTGCACCACGTCTGAGAGTGCAGATGTGCACCATGTCTGAGAGTGCAGGTGTGCACCACCACGTCTGAGAGTGCAGGTGTGCACCACGTCTGAGAGTGCAGGTGTGCACCACGTCTGAGAGTGCAGATGTGCACCACGTCTGAGAGTGCAGATGTGCACCATGTCTGAGAGTGCAGGTGTGCACCACCACGTCTGAGAGTGCAGGTGTGCACCACATCTGAGAGTGCAGGTGTGCACCACATCTGAGAGTGCAGGTGTACACCACCACATCTGAGAGTGCAGATGTGCACCATGTCTGAAAGTGCAGGTGTGCACCACATCTGAAAGTGCAGGTGTGCACCACGTCTGAGAGTGCAGGTGTGCACCATGTCTGAGAGTGCAGATGTGCACCACGTCTGAAAGTGCAAGTGTGCACTATGTCTGAGAGTGCAGGTGTGCACCTGTGCACCGCCATGTCTGAGCATGCAGGTATGCACCACCATGTCTTGAGCACCAACCTTCTGAGTGTCAGGCACAGCTGGATTCTCACATCTGTTTCTAGAGCTGCTGTGCTGTAACACAACGGTTTTGCTGAAGTCTATGAAGAAACTGCCTCACACATGTGTGCAGCTGCAAGAAGATACCCTTGAAAGTCCTGCCCTACCCACATACAAGTCTTTGAACCACATTTTAGAAGTGTCTGACCCCCTTTCTGGGGGTGAATTTTGAAGAATAAGAATGGATTATGTGAAAGTGTGGTCAGGTTATCCTAAGCTTCTCAAATCATGACACATCACCAGGCCAGGCCGGGGCCGGGGATGATACACTTCTAGCTGAATCCCAGGTGTTGCTGCTGCCATTGGTCACAGGATGACACCAAGGAGCAGTGTCTCAGCCCAAGAAATAGTGTGAGCAAAGCCGCATTGTCACAAGAAACCATGAAGAGCAACAAGAACAGAATGATTGGGCGTGAAGAATGGGTAGAGGGGCCTATGGATAAAGTGATTGTAGCTACATCATGGACGTATCGATTGTAACCTTTCCCGAGGGGAAGCTATTGACAAGTTTCAAGCAGGGGACCATTCATAGCTTCTTATTCTGAATAACTCAGAATTGCAGTGAAATATAAAACATTAAAGCAAAGTAAGTCAACGATAGGATGAAGTAGAGGAGCAGAAAGGAGAGGGGTGGGTTTCCCTGTATTGCCAGCAGGATAAACTGTACTCCGGACTGACAGCTGCATTTAAGCTCCAATTCTGTAGCTATAAGACAACGCAGAGGCAGAACCCAAGAGTCTGCGCTGTGCAAATCGGGTGTGGTGCAGGTTTATCAGACACCAAGAACAATTTAGTGTTTGTATACAGTCACTCTCCGGACGCCAGTATGCCTGTGTTGCAGAAGCAATACGCCCCAGCTTACCACTGTGACATGCAACTTACAATCCACTAAATAGAAGTCTTCTGGTTTCTGAGAGCAAGCTCATGTAGGTGACCTGCTGAGGGGAATTCCGCACACAAGCTTTGCTTATTTACACACGAGACATTGTCCCTCATGGTCACCCACAGAAATAGAGGAAGTAGGGATGCAAACATGCTGCTGGCAATTGAATGAAAAGTCTGACTTCAAGTGACTCAGCCCTGCTTCAAACACAGCTTGGCCCCACTTTCAGTATGCCCACGAGTGGTTTGACTTGTATTCTGCTCTCCCATTGCCCTCTCTCTTGGTATGAAGGCCTGAAGGGCTAAGAAGAAGAAAGTGTCTATTAAATAGAGTCTTTATAATTTCAAGACCCTCCTCTGCCTCAGCACCCACGTCAGAGGGCTTCCTAATTTCTATTTCTCTCTGGAAACACTTGGCCTTTAGTGTCCAGAAATCCCCTCCTCACCAGCTGGGATTCTGAGAGCTCAATATTCCGTCCACACTTGCCCTAAAGCCAGCCACAGCCACTCAGGAGCAGCAGCCTAGCTGCTCCTTTAGCTGAACATTTCCTCATCACGAACTCCAAGTCCCTAACTGAGCAGAACTTAAAAGTCTATGTGTCGTACCTATACACATGCAATAGCAAGTGTGTGTGTGTGTGTGTGTGTGTGTGTGTGTGTGTGTGAGAGAGAGAGAGAGAGAGAGAGAGAGAGAGAGAGCATGAATCTGAAGGAGAGCAGGGAGGTCATATGGGGGAGGGGGAAAGGAAGGGAGAAGTGCTATATCATATTATAATCTCAAAAAGAAGACAAAAAAATCTATGCGTGCATTTTTTTGATGAAATAAATAAGCCTTCAAGTTCTGTCCACTAAGACAGACACACATACATGCATGTCCACACATACACACACACATCCAGAGAAACACAGACAGATAGACTGACAGTCAGACATACACACACACACCAGAGAAAGAGAGGTACAGACACACAGACAGAAACACACACAACACATACACACACATTGAGACACATAGATACACACAAAAACAACAGTCAGACACATACACACATACATATATATATATATATATATATATAGAGAGAGAGAGAGAGAGAGAGAGATACAGACACACACACACACACAACCCCCTCCTCCCCCACACACACTGCTTCTTCTGATCTCTTGACGGTAATGCTTCTGACTTTCTCTATCATGGAAGGCAGCTAAAAGCCATTCAGGAGAACTGGAAGACAGCCAGCTCTCCCATTCTGCAAATTGTGTTATCTCAGCCCCGGCTCTTTATCAATGTACCCCACTCGTGTTATAGGAAGCAGGCCGTGGAGAGAGGAGTGCACTCAATGCCTGTTCTGAGGGAACCTGACACAGCTCATCCCTGCTAGGCAGATGGAGGTCGCTCTGGTCTCTCTTTCATCTCACGGGATCCTTTCTGATCTTAGGAAATGCAGCATTTCGACTAAGACGTCAACTCTCAGAACACTGCAATAAGGCATTCTTCCCCTAAGAAGGAGAATGCCCAGGCTCCGTTTAATTTTTCAAATTTTATGAACCCATGAAAACATGTTTTTAAGTCAAGGAGAGAAAAGAGGGTGAACTTCTACTCTCGAGGCTGGATTACATTAGCTATCCAGATAGTGGGCCTCTATTGGGAGCCTTCCTCCTCCTGTAGACATCGCGCTGGGTAACCATCTAGAAGACGGCCTCTGCAGGCTGTGGCTCCCATGGTGCTCTGCAACTTCCTGGGCCACTTGACAGTTCTGTGTTAACCAATGCTGCCGAGGGAGGCCAGGCCAGACGTCTGCATGTCCTTCCAATGTGTGTCAGAAGAACTGTGATCCCTGTGGACGACAACAATGATTTTATGTTGTTTGGAAACAAACCAAGTAAGAAACATGCAAGACCCACACCACAGGTTTTCAAACACAGACAAAAGAGGATATTATTGGTGGGGCTGGCACTGTAGCTTAGGGCCAACCCCTTAGTGCACAAGTGAGGCCCTGGGTTCACTCCACAGACCTCACATGCACACAGACAAGAGTTGACTTGGGATGGACTCAGTTCCTGAAGAGAAGCACAGACAGAGGGATGTCATTTCCATAAAACTTCTAGGACTCCATCCACGTTGGTCCTTGCCGGCGGAAAGCACCTCAGCTTCTGATGAAATCATCACAGAGTGTCACTTTTGATGAGAACGGAAAGTAAAAAACTATGTAAGCAGCTTAAAGCAAGGTCTCCAAAAATCTCGGTTCTAGGGAAGTCCTTGCTGAAGGCCAGAAGAGGGCTCTGACTTAGTTCCTTGTTCTCTCTCCTCCTAAAGGAGCACTTCTGCCTAGACCAGTGGTTCTCAACCTTCCTAATGTTGTGGCCCTTTAAAACAGTTCCTCATGTTGTAATGACCCCAACCATAAAATTATTTTCATTGCTACTTCATAACTGTAATTTTGTCACTGTCATGAATCATAATGCAAATATCTATCTGGTATGCAACCTTCCCAAAGGGGTCGTGACCCACAGAGCTCTCTATGTGGGTGTCATTGAGACTCCAATCTAGACATAAACTCCTGATGTGGGATTCCCCTTTGTATTCTGTGAATACCATTGATTTAATGAGTAAAACTTTTTCAATCAGTGGCTCAACAGAATAGAGTATGGCGAGAATTCCAAGCAGATAGAGGAGGAAAGAAGGCAGAGTCAGAGAAGCCATGTAGCTGCCGCAGGAGACAGACACCAGATGCCAGACAGAACCTTACTGGTAGGCCACAAACATGTAGCAATACACAGATTAATAGACATGAGTTAATTTAAGATATAAGAGCTAGCTAACTATACACTTAAGTGATTGGCCAAACAGTGTTTTAATTAATACAGTTTCTGTGTGGTTATTTAGGGTCTAGGTGGCCTCTGACAACAAACTCCATGATAGAGATGGATTATATCTATTTCTGAATTTCAGCCCATCTCCTAAATGATGTTAGGGTCCCCCGCCCCCTGCCCTCAATTAAGAGATCAATGTAACCTTAAAGATCTTCCAGGATGGACCTTCCGTAATGGAATCTACCTCTGGTCCTGGGTGAAGATATGACCTCCTGAACTGCTACAGAGATTAGAACATTATATACGGCTGTGTACTCCATTAAGAGTCAATCCAGCTGGGCCAAAAGACAACCCTTTAAGACGGCTGGATCACCTAAAGCCAAGTTAAAGAGATGGCAAGAATAATTATCTGCTTAATAAGATAAGGAACTTTCCTTCCCGGGAACCCTGCCCTCTGTGCACTCACTTACAGAGCTGCCACCATGCAGCTAAGCCTGCCTGCCACTAAGTCATGCTGCTGCTTGCTGACATCCACTGCTGAATATGCCAGCCTGGCTCAAAAGACACATCTTTCTCTGCTCCTCTCCTCCATCTCCCTCCCTCCATCTGCTGCCAGCATTCAAAGCATGGCCAAATCAAAGTCTCCCTCAAAGTCTGGCCAAATTATTTATTAAGACAACTAAGAACCCAAAGGGGGTGCTCCAATTTCCTTCCTATTATAGGGCACTCAATGTGGGGCTCTCTGGGGCTCCCAGTAACACTTCCATGTGTAGACAGGATGGTGGTGGGGTCTCTGGCTGGTCTTCATTGATATGTCTTTACTTACCAGTCATGGTATAAGATCACAGGGACTGTCTCTTTCCTCCCTCTATGTTCCCCTTCCCTCTTAGTACAGAAATGCCTCTGCTTATAAATTTTCCATTAAAGATGGTCACAGGTACGGACAAAACAGAGTTTAGGAGACCCACACTGCCCACTGCGGCAGATGGTGTTAGTAACCACACACTGCTGGTCACTCGGGGATGAGAGTAGGATTTGTACACAGCCTGGGATATTTTATGAACATCAGTGCATTGTCAGTTTGAAGAGTATAAAAATGAATGTCTTAAAACACTGCTAAAAAGAAGCACATGCTTAGGATGGAAAAAAGTAGAGATTTTTTTTCAAATTCTCAAGTCAAGGGACAATGGTAAATGTTAGAAGGAGCCTATGGCAAAATTGGCGAGAAATTAAGTCCAAAGAATGAGTGATGACTTAGAAGCAAAGAGTGGAGCTGGAAGAATGAAAAGGGCAACTTGCTGGGGCCGCAGCTAAAGGTTAGCGGCAATGAATGATCTTGGCCTAACCTTTTTAGTGCTGATAAAGGGCAGGAGTTCAGGAGGGAATGTAAGGCAGAGCCTGTGAACGACAAATCAGAGAGAAGCCAAGGGTAGTTCGGGGGCTGAGAGCTGCACATTCAGGCTGTCAGAACATTAGAGCAGCAAACGGCTGACTGGATGGCAGTGGAGGTGCCACCATCCCTGCAGGAGTAAAGGTACTCTAAGAGACGCCTGTGCCTCTTTCTTCAGCCATCAGACTACAGAGCCAGTAACTGGAAATTCCCCCAAGGACTTAGGGTTTCCTTGGGAGACTCATACTTGGAAAGAGGAAGATTTAAGGTCTGGTGCCCACTGGGGAAGAACCTGTCTCTCAGGAAGAGATTTTACAAAGTGCCAACCACCGGTAGGACAGGTCAGGAGCCAGGTTCCAAGACAGGAAGGCAGTTTGGTCAGGACTATACCGGGACCAGGACTGCTTAGCCATCATTTCTCTTGCCTTCTGTTTAACCCAAAATGTCATGCCAATACCCCTGCTGGGGAGGCTGTTACCGAACCTCTTTGTTCTTCTTCCCATTGTGGTCACAAGGAGTAAATCCCCTTTGTCTGCTTTTCATTATTAATTGCCTTTTTAAGTTGTCATACTGAAGGCCATTGACCAAGGCTAGCTGGTTAGGACTGTTAGGGCCTAGGCTTTGAGCTCCAGTAACAAGGACTTTGTAGACAGCAGAAGTCCATGGTGAGGAAGGCATGCAGCAGAAGATGAAGAAGTGTGTTCCTAGTTTAAAGCTTTCTGGGGAGCACTGCTGCCTGGAGCTATGGAAATGAGGTCCAGACATCAGTAACTTAAGTGGATCTTAGTCATTTGGGGGTGATTTCTAAGAAATGGAAGCTAGGGGCTGAGAATATGGCTCAACAGTTAAGAGCATGTACTGCTCTTGCAGAGGAAGCAAGTTTGGTTCCCAGGACTCATATTGGATGCCTCACAACCACCTGTAGCTGCAGACCCAGAGGGCTCCGGTGCCTCTGGCCTTTGTTGGCACACTCTTGTTTCCAACCCCTACATATACACATAAACAAATAAGCCTTTAAAGAAGAGGAAGAGTTATGCCTTTAAAAAGGACAGAAATGGCAGCTGGGTGTGGTGGTGCATGTCTATAATCCTAGAACCGGGCAGGCTGAGTCAGAAGGATCATGAGTTCAAGTCCAGCTTGGGCTATATAGTAGGATTGGTCTTAAATAGAAAGCCATACAAATAACCTTTTAGGATCTAAACTCTTCATATGTGGAATGGCTACACTACAATACTGTGTACGCAATTAAAACCATTGACATTCCATGTTCGCCTCCTCAGTAAGCTCACCCGTAGTAAGTAACTCATTCAGCTATTTTGAAAGAGAGCTATTAACACCATCATTACTTGTCACTGTGGAAACAGAATCTCAGAGAGAGAATGAGCGCATGGGCATTTTCTTTCTCATATCTTACACTCCTGCAGCCGCCTCCCCGTGCGGACCGATTAAGTGAACTAATATCTCGAGGCCAATCCAGACGATAATTCTGTCTGTGCTTCTTACCATCTAAATTGTCTTGGCGTTTTGATTTCCCGGGTCACTTTGGGTCACGTTCTCACCTGGTCTCGCTGTGAGTCTGGCCTTCAGAAAACCTCCAGGGACCTGGAAGAAACGTGTGGCACCAGGCAGCAATTCCAGGATTGGCTTTAGTGATTCTGTGACAGCTAAATGGTGTGCTCTGAGAATGTGCTCCTGATAACTCTTAGAAAGCACGTCACAACACAGCCTCTCGGTTGAGGGTTCCTCCTTGTTTGGGGACATTTTTGTATGAATAAAGAATGCCCAGGCATTCTCAGACAGGGATTAGCCTTTCCAGTGTCCCTGTGTAAATTGTGTGCCAAAGAAGACTCCACACAGGTCAACCTTACGTGTTAATCCTCCCTTAGCACATTTGATTGGATAGAAGAGACTAAAATGGGATCAAGTAATTAGAAAATACTGTGTCAGAGGAGGGCACACTCTCGAAGCTCTGACAGGACAGCCCGCAGGTGGCTAATCTAAATATTCATTTGGGGTATCGGAACAGCTATCAACAAACTCATTTTGAAGACAATATTTTCACTTCAACTGTCAGCCAGCAATGGGTCTCCACAATACATGGCTTTCAGCCATTGTGTCGGTAAGAGAGAAATGTACTTAACTTCACAAATACCAATGAATCACACCCTTTTCATTTTAAAAGAGAGCCCAGAGTCATTCTTTCGAAAAACTAGCTGTCGCAAAAGACATTAACCTCGTAAATCATTTCTTGGAAAAACTAAGAAGTTGTGAGGCAAATGGCTTTGTGGTGACCCAGTTCATCTCTTAGACACAGGCACTGTGATTTCAGGCGCTTTTTGTTTAGACAAAGCTTCCCTCTTATGCCCCTCCTGGCTGTGTATCAAAGTGTGGAGCATTACCTGTTATTGCACATAGAGTTCGGGTTGCTTGAGACAAGATCTCAGGTAGTCCAGTAGACCAGATTCTGTGTCCTTCCTACCTATGCCTAGCAGAAGTAGAGTGTGCATTAAGCTAAACTCCTACCTATTGACCCCCACTTCAGGATCATGAGAGAAAAACCTGGGAACAGGGTGTGATACCTGCCCTTTGCTGCGTAGACCTGGTCAGTTTGCTGCATAGGGGTGGTCAGTTGTGCTAGGGGGCCAGCGGGATGTCCTGCCTTTTCCCCCAGAGCTGTCTCCTGCAAGGCAAAAATCCTAAGCTACCCAGATAAAATAGAAAAACTGGCCTTTGGAATAAGACAAAAGAATATTGATTTAGATAAGCAATAAAAATAAATCAGGTTTGGAGAAGGGGGGAAAAAATCTATGCCCAGAAAGGCAACAAGCCAACACTGTTGAAGAAGGTATAGAAAAAAAAGTTTTAGGTCCTTAAAGGAAGAGTCAGGAGATCCTCTTCGCCCAGAATTCTCTACTGCTCCAAAGCACAGGTCTTTTATTACTGGGAAGGAGGCAAGTAGGCTGAGAACCGTAATCCCAAGATTCAGGCCAAAGGTTGATTCTGAACAGAGTAGCAAAGAAGCTCACACTCTTCCAATAAGCCAGCAGGGAGACAAGCAGGAGGCAGCTGGGGCAGAAAGGGCAAAGAGAGGTAGCCTCGGGTGCGGCCTGAGCTCGGAGGTCTGAAAGCTGGGGGCTGAGGATTTAGAAAATTGCTCTGGCACCCTGGGCTCTACACTGGGGGACATCAGCCAACCACTGAAGCTTGTGGACAGACCACTGAAGCTTGTAGAGCGCCCACTGAAGCTTGTGGAGCACCCAATGAAGTTTGTGGAGCACCCACTGAAACTTGTGAACAAACCACTGAAGCTTGTGGACAGACCACTGAAGCTTGTAGATCACCCTCTGAAGCTTGTGGAGCACCCTCTGAAGCTTGGGGAGCACCCCCTGAAGCTTGTGGAGCACCCCCTGAAGCTTGTGGAGCACCCCCTGAAGCTTGTGGAGCACCCCCTGAAGCTTGTGGAGCATCCTCTGAAGCTTGTGAAGCATCCTCTGAAGCTTGTGAAGCATCCTCTGAAGCTTGTGGAGCACCCCCTGAAGCTTGTGAACAAACCACTCAAGCTTGTGGAGCACCACCTGAAGCTTGTGGAGCACCCCCTGAAGCTTGTGGACAAACCACTCAAGCTTGTGGAGCATCCACTGAAGCTTGTGGAGTACCCACACTAATGAGAGCAACACCATCATCTAATGCAGTTCAGCCCTGGTTGGTTGGTTCATTCTGTAATCCCTGCCATTTGTTCACACAATAGCAGCCCTAAAATGAGGTATTCTCAAGAATAAAAGTAATAGACCTTGGTCTCTTTTTGTTCTTCTTTTATGTTGACAGTGTTTAGCTCTTGGGAGTCAGGTCTCTACTCCCACCATGCAGGTGCCCAGGAGCAAACCCAGGCTCAACAGCAAACTTATTTACCCACGGAGCCGCTTCACCCACCCACATCTGATGCCTGAGAGCAGAAATAAGGGACAACCAATGCCGCGCAAGACTGTTGCTAAAAATCTTTGCCTGAAGACTTGGAGCTAAAGCCACACACCTGCCTGGAAGGATTTTGCATTAGATTAGAATAGTAATCCCTCTTTAGTCTGGAAAGTATTTATTGGAAAGAGAATAGCTTGTAAAAACAATCACTTATTCTTTTGACTTGGTTAATCAGCACAATGGAGAGCTAGGGTATTTAAAATTCAGGTCCAGAATCCAAGTATCATCATCTGCATGGCAAAATTATTGAAAGGATCAGAAATAATTTGTGTAAAGAACAAATGTAAATACACAGTTAACAAATGAGGCTGTCATTGGCTACTAAAGTGAATCAGGATGCCCAGCGAGACCCTCACTGTTATCAACAGTCAAGGTGGGGTCGCACCCACAGACTGCAGAACCCGCACTCCCTGACTCCTGCTGGAGGAGGTCTCCCACGCTGTGGGAGAAAGCACTGTCTCATTCTTCCAGGGGAATTTCCTGTACACAGAAATGAACAATGTGGGGAAAGAAAAGTGAGTACTAATGCAGTTGTTGTACACATGCATACATACACCCATACACACACACGTACACGTGCACACATACACATACACCCATATACAGACACATACACACACACGTACACACGCACACATATACGTACACCCAAACACACATGTACACACACATACACCCACACACATGTACACATACACACATGCACACAGATGGACACACATACTCACTCACTCACTCACTCACTCACAGAGTCTCCCAACACTCAAGCAGGGAAATTACCCTTACACACAGAGAGAGACAAGTGACATTTTGAGTTGGAAATTTTTTAAAAGTCAAAATAAGCCGTTGAATTGTCTGCCAGCCACACTGACTTCTTTCTGAATTTTGAACCCCTAAGAGGGAAACTTTTGCATTGAGACTGTCAGTTGGATCCCAGTTCATCTCTGTCCTGCACCCAGATGATTCAGCAATCAAAATCTCCTTCAAAGGACCAAGAGCTGAGTTACAGCAGTGAGAGAATGGCTAATCCCTTCCACCCACTTTCAGCAGAAAGGAATAATGAGACACGGGATACACTTGGAGAGTTGATTTTTTATTAAGTCTGTGGAGCTGAATTCGTTCAGAATTTTCATCTTTGGCAACTCTGTCTGGGTGCAGGGGAAATACTCAAAGAAACAGAGTTACTTTATTCTCAACATTTTTGTAGACCTAAGATAAGATGCAGAGAGATGAAGTTAAGTGGAGTGGGAACGGTCTGGGATTCGGGGCTGGAAACCAAAGGCAGGCTGCGTCCGTCAAAGGGAACATGAGACCAAGAAGAAAGAGTTATTTTCATAAGGATGTTCAGAAAGATTAAATCAAAGCAAGATGGTGAAGTGAGGAGAGACTACAAAAGCGTGAGAAACAAAACTCTCTGTCTTCCGACCAGACACAAAAGCACGGTCTGCTAAGGAATGTGGCAAGTGGGTTTTTCTCTAATAAAGCTGGGAAGGAAGGGAAGCATGGGACAGAGGGCACACTGTGAGTTAGGGGAAAGGTCCCCATGCAGAGAAGAGCAGAGCTGACCGGCAGGGGAAGCAGAGAAGCAAATGAAAGCTGCAGAGACACGGGGACAAACAGACAGGTACCTAGGACAGATCACCGAAAGCAGATTTGCTGCAGGGATAGAATTATGGGAGAGAGCAAACGATGAGATGAGCAGAGAAACTCAGCCAGTGGTTGACAGACTCCTGGTGGAGCATCCTACTCTTGCATCCCAGATCCAAGTTGAGAAGCTCTAGAAAGAAGGACCAAATGGCTTCCTGAATGTGCTCTCTTGTTCACTGTTCAGTCGCCAGCATCTTCACCACTGACTGGGGTATAATGAACACTCAGTATAGTAAGTGTTCAGTGAGTTGAAGAAGAAACATGTGAAGAAAACAGAGTGAGGATAAGAAATAACCCAACAAAGTACCGCATAGTACTTTATCCATTATCAAACAGCAGGTTCACAGGCGGGATAGCAAGGGACTGGTTCTGCTATAATTGAACCAATTTTAGTTTTCCCTGATTCAGGAACAGTCCAGGACCCCAATGAAACAGGCAGTGTGCAAAGCCAAGAGGGGCTGACTTTGGGAATTGATCATAGAGACATCTGTAGTCTCCACATCGCCCCTAAGACTCAAGCACACAGTCAGGTGTCTGCATGTCATCCCTTGACCTCCTTTGGAGATCAGTTCTATAGTTTCCACACAATACAAATAACCAACCAAGTCCTGAATATGTTCAGTCATTCAAAGCCTCTAATGCCTGAATAAGAAATGGTCTATCAATCTAACAATTGGCAGGGAAGGATCCATGGTAAATCTGTTAGGCAGATTTCCTAACAGCCCTCCACAGAATCAAAATTAAAGGCAGAGGGGTTGCCCAAGAAATATGGGGCCAGGATGGTTATGAATCTCCAAATGATTCATCTTCCCCACAAAAATCCCCAAAGTGGAAGGCAATGCTGGCAAGGGTGGGTTGGTGCAGATGGCCTGACTGCTCTGCCCGGGGTATACCAGGTGGCCCGACTGCTCCACCCTGAGTAGATCATGCTCAAAATATAGGGATATACTTAGGGTCTGGGCAAATGGGGAGTTTTAAAG